AAATAATATCTATAAATTTTATCTAATTTAAAATTTTAGTAAATTTTTTATTACCTTATAAATATTTTTTCATATACACAAATTTAGAGTTTGAATCCCTTTTATTTGTATTGTCACAATTCAGAGACTAATTTGGTTCATAGTATTATAATAATCTACAAGATATGAATGTATAGTGTCTAACTATTATGCCAATAACCGATCTAATTAGAAATTAAAACTTTAATCAATAAAGTTATTTTTGTTAAATATTGTTATTTTCGGACATGTATACCCACCACCTTAGCATAGTGGTATCATTTTGTCCTAATCATTCCAATTTCATATGGTGAAATCAACCAAAAGCACCCACAGAAAACCATTTTATGAAAACATAGGGATCGCGGAATATTTGTCCACGACAAAGACACCTGAAAGTCTTCCATTATACAAAGCAACATCAAGTTGAGACTTTCAGGTTTCGATCCTGACACATAGTTGTCACAAATGGACACATATCATATATGCTTTCAAAATAATGGGAAACACCAACTTATAGCTACAGCTTTTGCTTTGATTCTTGCATCCAACGAATTTATCCCACTTGCATCTTCAACTTCAAGACTTAAATTAATTCCAAAGCCGAGATCATTTGATTCGATCAAAAGTTTTCATGAATAGGTTTTTAATTCTATTGGTAACTTTGATGATCCCTTTCTACCCGGCTTGAATACATGCCCCGAGTCATGACACAACACGACCAATGATTCTTTCTAGCTTTTGCAATAGTTTCCAACCTTAGCCAATTACGATGACATGAAAAAAAAAATGTATATAATCAATTGGGTTCATAACTTCATATGCAGAAATTTTTGTTATTATAATTTGGTTTTAACTAATGTTCTTTTACAGACTCTTGTTTACCTTTTCTCCGCAAACAACTTAAAGGATGAAAAATCAATTTGGATGACATAGGAGTTTTTACTATTGGAATCACACTCTTAAAAAAATCGCATATGAATTACTATATTTATTAATTTATTTTCAAATGATAATTTCAAAATTTTTAGTTGAGTATATATATATATATATATATAT